TGTCTGTCTGTCTGTCTGTCTGTCTGTCTGTCTGTCTGTCTGTCTGTCTGTCTGTCTGTCTGACTTTGTGCCAGCATTGAATGACCATTAGGCCTATCGTGTCCATGTGCTTCTTTTCACTCAGTGGGTGGTTGGCGGGTGCTCTAGTGGGGTTTGCTCCTTTTTTTCTATAAAAAATCTATCGTCTCTATCTCCCCTCCTTCTTTTTTGTGTTTGTTACTCTCTTGTAACACCTCTAATCTTCGGCACTTGTATGACCTTATTGTGTTACAGGAGCCGTAAAATTTTTACTAAAACTAAACTCTTTTCACTCAAACAATTTAACAAACCTGTGTCCCCCTCTTATTCTTTTCTTTGTGTGGTTTCAGCTCTTTCTAGACACAACACACCAGTCTTACATTAGACAATTATATTATGATCTGTTTTTGTTACAAATGCCGTAACACTTTTACTAAAACTCAGCCCCAAACTGAACTTTGTGGGTGGTTGGTAGGTGCTCTGGAGTGGTAAAATTGCTCCTTTTTAAAATTAAATTCACTATAGTTTTTATCTCCCTTATTTCTTTTAAAAAATCATGCATCTACCGTTTTTGTCTCCCCTCATTCTTTTTGTGCTTGTTACTCTCTTGTAACACATCTAATCTTCGGCACTTATCTGATTTAATGTGTTGCAAGTGCCGTAAAACTCTTACTCTGGGTGGTTTGTGGGTGCTCTTGTGTGGTTTGCTCCTTCTTTCCTATCAAAAGTGTATTGCCCTTCTTTTCTCCCCTCCTTTTTTGTGTATGTTACTCTCTTGTAACACCTCTAATCTTCGGCACTTGTATGACCTTATTGTGTTGCAAGGGTCGTAAAACACTTATTAAAACTAAAAAGCTCTTACTAAAACTGTTTATAAAAACCTGACCTTTGACCTTTGTGTGTGCTGTCCCCAGACGCTGTTCATCCCTGACCCTGACTACGTACCCAGTGACCCCCCGTCTCCACAGGCCGTCAGTCCTACCCCGGACACTAGGCCCAAAGTGGTGAGTTTGTCTGTCTGTCTGTCTGTCTGTCTGTCTGTCTGTCTGTCTGTCTGTCTCTCTCTCTCTCTCTCTCTCTCTTTCTGTCTGTCTCTCTTTCCCTCTGTCTCTCTGTCTCTCTCTCTGTATCAGTGA